TGTTGACGTTGTGGTAGCGTCGGTTGTTGAAGCTGTTGTTGTAGCAGGAGTGGTGGTTGCCTTATCGGTCGTCGAGCTCTGGGCATCTTCACGTTTCTGAAATACGCCAAAAATTCCAGGAACCCATCTCCACTTGTTGTTATCTTCAAATATAACTTAAGGTAGAGAAAACATTATTAACTTGATTATTGAGTCATTTATATTCCCGAACAACTTTCACACCCTTGCCCACATCCCTTTTGCCTAGTATATTTTTATGAGAGCTTATGCGAAAATCGAACTGTCGCTTCGATTGCGCTATGAACAGATGTTAGCAGAACCTACCACTCTGGGAAGTGCAGCTATCGACGCTGTAGTGAGCAAGAGGATGAGAAGGTTCATCTGGAATTCAAGAGTAATCTGAATCTCACTGCATACTCGAGCTGTAACGTAGGAACACTGTAAGAACCCGTTGAATTACTTCTTAACTTTCCCTTGGCCGTTTGAGCCCTCTCATTATGCTTGCCCATAGATGAAAGATTGTCTTTGATCCTTTGGAAAGAGGAAAAAAATCTAACAAATCGTCTCGACTTTCCCAGAAAGCATCGTCAGCCGAATAAGCGCAGAAATCATTTTGTTCAGTGTGAGGCTCAGTTAAGCTAGGGAGAGCCTTAGGAGAGAATGGGTCAAGGGTCGAGCGATGAAATTTATCACTGCAGGCTGATAAATTGTGAGAAAGCATTTGGGAAGCCCCAATCGGTAAAACGAACTGTATGACACATAGTCTGTGATATTGGCTAGGCTTTTATACCCGGTGCTGTGGTTTTTCTCTAGGGCTTCCCCCCTTCACAATGAGACCGTCTCTCACATTTCTGCCAACTGTATTGAATCAGCCGAAATAGTTTATAAAGTCTGAAAGGGTCACATGATAAAAGAGTCAATAAAGAGAGCTTATAGTTTTTATCCTTTGCGTTCATTTGGAAATGGTAATCGAAACTCCACTTCATCCCATATCAAAGGAATATGAACAAGCTTCATTTAACAACGGCTTCGGTGGACTTTGTTTTTTGATGTGAGAGTTGTGACGGGATGAACCCTTGAAATCCCCTCTCCCTTCAGATTTTTCTCAGGCACAAAACAAATCAAGTAAACTTAGAAAAATTGAAGTTTCACTGCTCAAAATCAAGATCGATTGCTTGCTGTTTTGACTTTGATCCGGGTTCAATCCAAATGCAATTTCCAGGAGCATCGCCTATGAGGAGCTCAACGATGGCTGGTGGTATTGGGGTTTGCGAAATGATTGACAGATACGGGAAACAATTTGTAACAATATGACGCTTTTTCTGGGAGCATGCAAGGGCACTCGTCCAAAAAAGAACAGAGCTGTGCGACAAAATAGCACAACTAACGACATGGGCTTTCATTTGATAGTTGTTCTAGGTTGTTAGGTTGCAGCTAGGAGCCAATA